ATGAGCCGACCAACTTCTTGGATCGCGACTCGCTCGGTGCCCTTGCCGGTGCCATCAAGGAGTTTGGCGGCGGTGTCGTCTTGATCTCGCACAACCGTGAGTTCACGGATGCGCTCGCCATCGAGACGTGGAACGTCGTCGCCGGTCAGCTCTCGATCGAGGGCCAGGTCGCCGAAGACAAGACCAAGATCGAGCAGATCGACGCCGAAGAGTCGGTCGACGCGTTCGGTAACAAGGTCGTCACCAAGGTCAAGCGAAAGCTCACCCGCAAGGAGCTCAAGGCCAAGCTCAAGGCCAAGAAGGACGCCGAGAAGCGTGGCGAGTACTACTCGGACTCGGACCTTGACGGCTACGAGGAGTAAATGCGCAAGAAAGGTCATCGATAGAGAATCTTAGAGCTGCTTAACTACCTATACTTATACACGCGCTATGCTTTCTACATTCTCGTCGCCTTCATCACACCTGACCGCGAACTTTTCTGTTGCCGACCAAGTCGAGAACGTACTCCTTTGTCAAGTGACAGCAGCCTTGGCAGTCTTTACCTTGCGTGTGGAGCCAAGTCGGCAGCTTGCTCTGTCGTGCAATGGTCTAGCAGGTACCACAACTCAACACGATAAGAGGCCTTCAACGTACGAGCTAATAGCTTGTGAAGCCATTGCAAAGTGTGTTCGTTGGGAGGATGCAGGATGAGGCAATTCATTTTGTCCGCGCCAGTTCTTCCTTCCGGTTGACAGCCCTTCGACGCCGCGGGATGCGGTGGGCTGCTTCTACATCCGAGTCCAAGGTCCGTTCTGGAACCACTTCTGTACTCCCGCCTGCAGTCGGATAACCAATGCCACCAACCACAGCACACAAGTCGTCCTGTTGTTTCGCCAATGGCTCGATAAGTCCTTAGCTAGACGAGCTCTTTTGTAGCGACGATGCCTGCCGAAGCGATCGGAGTGCGTCGCATCGCTGGCAAGCAACGATCGCGTGGCAGCAGTAGTCCATCGTCTTGGTGAGCGTCACGACGGAGGCCTTGCCGGCGACCGAGACCACTGGCAGCACACTGGCGTGGCACCGGGGGTCGTACTTGCCATTCGCGCGAGGGATCGCGCGGATGGCAAACTCGCGCGCTTGGCGAAGGAGTGAGAAACCCGCGCACTTGCATAATCGACAATGGACCGCGTAGGAAAGCCTGCACATGTGGGTGCGACGGCACCGGCGGCGGCGTCCCGTCGACCGACAGCAGCGACAGGCGGTGGTGGGCAAGACATCGATACGCATCGGTTGTCGCGCAGTGGGACGCGCCGGCCAGGGCCTTTGGCAAGAGCGTATTCTGCACGGACGTCGTGGTGGCCACGATCACCGCCATGTTGATGTCGGGCTACGCCAGGGCGGCAACGGCAATGTCGACGACACATTGCACGTTATGCGTATGTCGTAAGGCTTGTGAGGATCGTCGTCGAGGCAACTGATGGTCTTGAAAGCGCCTTCTGGCGGTGTCGACATGGTCTGTGAACACGTGGGCTTTCGGACAAAGAGCTGGAGGAGGCGCGTGGCCTCCCGTCTGCGACGACGATGGCATCGAGCTTTTGGAAGCCTGCGAACGAAAACGAGCCCGTGACCGAGTCCAAAATGGCGTCGAGGTGGCCAGGGCAGGCGACGGCAAGGTCACTCGCGCTGGAGCGTCTGCAACACAACGGAGACGAGCGCCGTTGCAAGCAGCGGGAAACGCCGCAAGCATTGCTCCAAGTGCATCGACGAACAAGACGGCGTCGTCGACAGAGAGCCTCTCGGGGCGCCCACATTTGGACCATGGTCTTGGCCTCGTCGTCGGCGCCGAGGGTCGTCGCAATGCAAAATGCGATCGTGAGGTCGGCGGTCGATAGCGGAGGAGCCGTGACTTGACCGAGCGTTGCACGTGCACCGATAGCCGACCCGCCGACCGTCGTCGCAAGCTCGAGTGCGCTCACGAGCTCTGTCGACAAGATGGACGTCGCGCTGATCGCCACGTTGCAAAGCGTCGCGGTGGCCAGCCAAAGCGAGTGCGCGCGCGAGGTTGGGCCTGAAACCCGCGATAAGAAACGATCGGCTTTGCGGCCACACGACGAGGACGCAGCGGCGAAAGTTTATCTCGACGTTCGGCTTCTTGCCTTTGGCCCAGTCGCAGTACATGTGTCGTCGATCGACGCGTAGTTGGGCCAGTCCTTGGTTGCTTGCGCGCGACATGTGTGCTGCCCATGCACTCGTTGGAGCCCCATGCAGGGTCCTTGCCTTCGATCTCGAGGCTTTCTGCGATAATCTTGAGCTCGCGCCGTGCCGCATTTAGCGGGCCATCAGAGCTGAGCGGCGCTGGGCGCTGCGTCGTTGAGACGTCCTCCGGCGCCGCCGCTGGCTTCCGTTTGCGAGCGACCATGGTGTCACAATGAGAAAATGAAATGGTTGTTGTCATCGCTTTGTTATGATTGGCTGCTCTGTTGACGTGCACGTCCACGTCTCTATACAAATACCGAGTGCATTGAAGATGGTACTTTTGGATTGGTCATTGGTCGGTAGTATTTTGGCCAATGGCATCGCATCATATCCGAGCCTAACCATCGCCGTGGATGACGTTCACCGGTCTGTACACAGCTCCTAGTGTGCAAAGTAGCCCTATCGCTCTTGTTATATTAGCAGAGGGTATCGAACGCGATCAAATGTCGTCCTCCTTTGCTGTAGCCTCGAGTGGGCGCTTGCGAGCCAGGCATTTTCGGTTATGAAAACACAAATGCGGTGTTTCGAGCGACCATTTTTATCGTTTAGAAATACCACCGCGCGGGCATATCCCAGTTATTGTTTACGCAATCGAATAAAGTTCGCAATTAAAGCACATACAAACCGCAAGGTATTTGCGGTATGCTGCATTTTATGCAACCACGTGGTGGGTGAACCAATCGCAGCCTTGCATCTCGAACGAGCTTTTGGTCAAGTCGATCGATGGCCCTCCGACGCGCGGTACAGATTGCCGGCCTTGGCGCCGGCGCCACGGTCGCGGTCGGCGTCGCCGGCCTCTGCATGGACGCGCCGCCGGCCGACGATGGCAGCCCTGACTACCTCGCCAAGCACGCCCAGCACGTCGCGACGCGCGACCGCCTGCCCGAGGTGTTTTACAACGCGGCCCGCGCCACCTTTCTCTTCTACCCCGCGACGCTCGTCGCCAAGGTGTACTTGGGCGCCTTGAACTCGTTCTCGATGCAGAACGAAGACGCGCTTGCCAAGTGGATCCTCGCGCGCCCGCGCCACCGGTCGCTCATCACGGTCACCAACCACTCGTCGACGGTTGATGACCCGGCGCTCTTTGCACGCATGCTGCCGTGGGCGTGCGCGAACCCTCGCGTCTCTCGCTGGGGGTTGTGCAGCCAAGAGTACTGCTACACCAAGGGCCCCTTGCTCTCGGCCGTTTTTTACGGCTCCAAGACGCTGCCGATCAAGCGCGGCGCCGGCATTGACCACCCGATGCTTCACGATCTCTTCAAGAAGGTGCAGATGGGCGAGTGGGTCCATGTCTTCCCCGAAGGCAAAATCGTTCAAGGCGGCCGTACGTCCTACCTCTTGCGCCGACCGGCTTGCCATGTAGCTGCGCCGATTTAGATTTGGGCCAGCGCGACGAGCCAATGCAAACCAACATCGGGGGGCTCAAGTGGGGCGTCGGGAAGCTCATTGCTCGCGCAGAAGAGACACCGATCGTCGTGCCGATCTACCACCTCGGCCTCGATGCAGTACGTCAAACACCCGATATGCTGTTCTGTAGCGAAGATTTGTCCCCGTAGGTCATGCCCCAGAACGCGAACCACAAGCTCAAGAGCATGATCCCGACAACGGGCAACCACGTCCATGTGCGCGTGGGCGAGCCCATTTACTTTGACGACCTCTTTGAAAAATACGCCAAGGACCGCGTCCAAGGCGCCGAGGTACACAACAAAACCATGTCTGCACGCCAGAGGTAGTATCATCTCAATATGATGTAGGGCCCGGACTCGTGGGTCTCCAAGTCATCCGAGCACGCGCTGTACTCGGACATTACCCGTCGCATTGAACATGCGCTTCTGGCACTCGAAGCGCAGTGCTACGAAGACTTGAAGTCGCTCTCGCCGTAGTAGACAATGATGATTTTTCTGGCGACCATACAAATATAGTACATCTCTTTTGCTGCTTGGACCATGTCGACTTCCAAAAACACACAAATCAAACGGTATTCACATCAACATTTCACGGCTTACTCGAGGGACTGGTTGCAGAGCGGGCACGACGGGTCCCGCGTCGAAGTCGCGAGTGTGAGCGCCCACTTGTCGAGACACTCGAGGTGAAAGTCGTGTTTGCACTTGGAGAGGAGCCGGAGTACGTCGCCCTCGACGTAGTCTTCGCAGCAGATGCAGCACGACTCGCTCGGGCCACCTCGAAAGTCATGGAGCTTCTGGACCAGCTCGTTTTTCTCGAGGACGCCTTTTGTGTCGACGCCGCGGAGGCGCAGACGCGCCTTGAGCTCGTGGATGCCAATGTGCGCGAGCGGTTTGAACTCTTCCGTGGGCAGGCCCGAGATCGTCTTGAGCACGCGGTCGTAGCGCTCTGAGTCGACGCTCGGTGCGGCCTCGCTTGGTGGGCCAAAGAGCGTCGAGACAAACCCAGCGAGGCCGTCGGCGCGGATGACGTCACGGTGGACGTAGAGATGATAGAGCGCATAGAACGCGAGGCCCAGCAGCAGCAAGGTCTCGCCCGAGATCGGGACCGCGCTGCGGCCCAAGAGCCCGGGCAGCAGCTGCACTGCGATGACGAGGCCGACGACGTACGGGTTGCTGCCAGGGCCGACGACGATGAACATGCTCCTGCTGCTGGCGGATTTCGGCTTGCAACAAATTTGCGTCTAAAAAGGGGCCAATCACAGGACAGATGACGCGCTTGTTTCTACGTACGCATGTACGTACGGCTTGTACAATAAATATACGTTTCGTACAAACAATGTACGGCGCGTCGCTGGACTTCAAGGAAGCATCGGTCGACCCGACCGATCAGGCAGAGCAAGGACCTACTAGCACCCACGTCGTACGCACTGCAAAAATGAATTGCAATACTAGCATTGACAAATGGTTGCTGTAGCTGCAGCCATGGGTCCACTCGTAAAGCGAGCTCTCAATTTTTGTTGCTCAATCCATCGAGGCGAGTCGACGCAGCGGCTGCTTCTTTACGCAGCGGACGCGAAGCTAACCATGGGACGTCATCTTGGGCGGTAAGATCGGCGACGTATTGTTGGCCGGCTGATTGGCTCGCGCTCTGGCGTTGGTGTGTCGCTAAAATTAGGCCATGGACCCAATTCCAAGCGCTTTCCATTCCGTAATCGTACCGAGAGCGCATTCCCACACCATGTACCGCTCGAAGGAGCTCAATAAGAACATCGCCAAGAGCTACCTCAGCGTTGGCGACCCGTACCGCGACCCGCACATCATTGAAGGTAGCGAGTGGTTGCACGACGTGCTGCCACGTCATCATTTTTCCAACTAGGCAAGAGCGACCGGCACAAGAGCAAGCAATTCCAGACCGCGCCAGCAAAAGACACGTGCGATGGGAAAGGGTACTTTGAGAGGAAGATATATGCGTCGGATCCTCTCGTCGACGGCGTCATGTACCTCAAGACGCAGCCACCCGAGACGCGGAAGGCCGGATTTGGCACCAAAGACGCGAGTCGACGCGACGAGTTTATGAGCCACGTACGCACCGAGCAGTACCGCGAGACGTTGCACCGGGAAGACACGATCGCGCAGACCGGTATCGCCAAGCACCGGGCGACGCACCCGGACGAGGAAGACGAGGATGCCATCGACGCCAAGCACCAGTTTCCCGAAGGTCTCAAGGAAACCAAGTTCCTCTACGACATTGGGCGCACCCAAGTGACCGAGTTCAACCAAAAGAGCCACCGGGACACGTTCTACACGCTCCGGACGGGCAACTCGCAGTTCCGGCGCAATAATGGCCACTTCGTGCTCAGCTCCGAGTCCGTCGGCGTCGGCGCGTCGCAAGTCGGCAACAATGGCACCCACGCCCGCAACGCGTGCACGAAGCAATTTTACGACCATAGTCACCTGCACACCTAAACACTTCCACTCTCCTATCTTGAAAACACAATGATGTCAACAAGGGATTTGACCACGTTCTCACGTCTTGTACGTCGCCACAAGTGATTTATCATGGACCCGTGGGCTGCAACGCGTTTGGTGCGAGGACGCATTTTGGCTCAACAGCTCCACGTCATTCAAATGAAGTGCCACCCGCAATCCATAGCATTAGCGCGCCGCAATCTTCGTGGCAGAAGGGTTCGCTTTCCTAATGACGACGATACCAAGCAGGAGTCCTCTAGACAATATCTCGAGTAAACTGAATCTATATCGTCGCGAGCTATAGCTGTACTATCGTTGCAGTAGGGCAGGTCGGCAAGACGGGCGTGGATTGCAGCCGCTGCGTGTTGCGATCTTGGTGCAACCTCAGAGCGTTGGTCGTTGTACTTTTTTCCCTATATCCACGCCTATATATTAAATATATTCTATGCTACATACAAATGTCAGGTTGGCCACCACGAAACCTTCAAAAAACAAGAAGCAGCACAACCGAGATCTCCTTCCAACGCCATCATCATGAGCAGCAGCAGCAACACGACCGCGCTCTGGCTCGCCCACGAGCACGCCGCCACCGAGGCCATGGCGCTGCGCAGCGCGCTCGTCGTCTTCGGCGTCCTCGCGACCCTCTTTGTCTTTGTCGCGATCCAGCGACGACGCCTCGACGCCACCGACGCGCTCAAGTACGCCAACGCGGTGCGCAAGGCGCAGTTTGAGCGCGTCTCGCACGTGATGAAGAAGCACCGTCAACCGTCGCCCGACGTCGAGGTCGAGCTCGCGCCGCTCATGGACGAGTACGCTCTGGTGCATGACGATGCGCTCGAGTAGTCGGCGGCGGCGTCAATATATATCAAAATGCAATTGCAGGTCGTATTGTACTTGCGTGCAGTGTATCTGTACGGCTAGACGTGCAGCGGCGCCGCGACCAGCGTGCGTGCGATCGAGAGACCAGTTTGCTCGACGTGCACGCGGTGGTAAGTGGTCTTTTCGCCGTCGGCGAACGACGCGGTGACGACCATGTCGCAGCGACCGTCTTGCGGCGCGCCGTCGTCGTCGTCGTCGTCGCCGCCACTAGTGTGCTTGCTCGGGCGCGCAAATCGGTTGTGGACATGCTTAGTGTAGTGGCTGCTAAAGACGGCGTGGACTTTGGACGTGCCGACGAGCTCGAGGAGCGGAAGGCGAACCTATCGCAGCGATGGAATTAGAGATCGCCTTGCGTGCAGTGTCGTACATCGCGAGGCACGTTCCAGGGGGCAGCCGGCGCATTGTTGTTGGAGAGTGTCTCGGCGTAGAGCGTTGGCTCGTCACTCTCGGAGATGTACAACGGGTGGTGGCTCAAGACGCAGAGCACTTGGGCACAGAGCGCGCCGTGCTCGAGCTCCTTCTTTAGCCATGCTACGCATACCGTCGCATCGACGCGCAACTGCAACGACGACCGTACCGTCTTGGGCCAAGTAGCGTTCGTGCAGGGCATGGTCCGACTCGGCATGCAGCCACAGCGACGAGTTGACGACAAGGCACTTCATGCCGCCATACCTATCGTCAACGAGGCGGCCTGAGCGCTGACGTCATTCACACGCGACTACCAGAGCGCATAGTAGTCGTCGCCGTAGTCGGCTGTGTACGCCGCAATGTCGACCGCGGCGTGGTCCCCCGGCACAAACACCTATCCATTCTTGCGTCGTCTCTCTGTGCTGTTGGCATCCGCTTTGTACCAAACGAATGCGCGGGTCCAGGGTCGAGAGACTGGCCTGGAACGCATCGCGCTGGGGGGCATAGTACTTTTGAGAGGGCGAGGCGTGCGTCATGTTGCCGGAGAGCACGAGCAGCGTCGGAAGCGTCTCGTTGAGTGCGAGCAGCGCGTCCCGGAAGAGTGCGAGCTCCGTCGCCCAGGACGAGCCTCCCAGCCCGTCATTCTCGGTGGCGGCCGCGGCTCTCCCGAGCGACGGGCCCGACAGCTACGCACGCTCTTGGAACCACGCCGTAGAAACGGTCCCAGCAACATACATGTACAAACGTGAACGACTGCTTCCACTCGTTCTGCACGCTGTGGGTGAGACCGACGTAGCCGCGCTTGGTCGCATACAGACACCGCCCGAGGCCCATGGTCGAAAAGAAGCGTGGGTACACGTCTACAGCCCTACGCGTGACTGACGTGGAAGACAAGTCGAGGACGTACCTGGGTGCTGGAGCAGCTGCATGCGATTCAGCACGTGCATGAGGCGCGGCTTGCGCGGGTGGGCGAGCGCGACGGCTTGAGCCAAGACGGCGGGCGCCTTGTCGCCACCGCCGGCCGCCACGTAGGCGTGGATTTGCTTGGCCGACTCGAAAATGAACTTGTCTTCAAGCGTCGCAAAGGGCGGCGACGTCGAGAGGTGCGTCTTAAAGTTGATGCCATCGAAGAACGCGTGAGCTACACGGTATATCGTGAGCGATCGATCAATGGACAAGGCCATTGCGACGACGACCTTTGAGTGCGTCAAAGCCGTTGGCGCCAAGTCGGCGGCTCGGGTCGGGTTGCAACAAGGCCGCAATCAGGTCGCGCGCCGGCGCCGATAAAAAGGTCGGTACGTCGTAGACGCCGTCTTGGACTTTAAGAAAGCACAAGTACGGAGACCCGCCTTGGAACGGTGTATCGCCCGTCAGGAGCTGGTAGACGATGCAGCCGAGCGCCCAGAGATCACTGCTCGTGTCGACAGGCTTGTTGGCGATCGTCTCGGGCGACATGTACTCTATCGTCGCGCATCGATGGGCGGGTCCATCGCCTACCAGCGTTCTTTACCTGGTGTCCCGACAAAGTTGGGGCCGTTCAGCGCCGGGTCCGAGAGGTTCTTGGCTGTGCCAAAGTCGACGAGCCGCAAATGGCCGTCAACCTTGGACACGATCATGTTTTCCGGCTTCAAATCCCTACGCGATCCATGTTACTATGTGAAAGTAAACATGGCGGCAGAGTACCGATGCACGATGCGCTGCGACGCGAGGTACTCGAGCGCGTTGACGATGTCGGCGGCGTAGAAGCGGGCGAGGCCTTCCGTGCAGCCGACTTGCTTGCCACAGAGCGTGAGCGCGTCCCATAGCTCGCCGTTCGCAATGTACTCCATGAGAAAGTACAAGTTGGTCGCGTCTTGGTACGTGTGGTAGAGCCGAATGATGTTGGGGTGGCGGAGCGTATTGAGCACCGCCTTCTCCATGTTGACTTCGTTCAGAATGTTCGGGTGGCGGATCTTGAGCCGCATGATGCGCTGCTTCTCAATGACCTTGATCGCAAACTGCTCGCCGGTCGGACGGTGCGTGCCCAGAAAGACCTTGGAAAAGTTGCCTTGGCCGAGCTCCCGCTCCAAGGTAAAGTCTGTCGCCTGTGGCTTCTCGACCGAGTCCTTGACTAGCGCAGCCATAAGTTCTATGGTGGCCTCGTCGACGAGCAGCATGTAGGTATACCTGTGCTCATCAGCGGTCGCTTGTGGATCTCGCGCACCGCTGCCGTCGGCGTCCGTATCCGGATGTTCCAAAATCGAACGTCCACGACTGGTGCGCATCAGATGTGGAATGTGGCGACGTCTGGTGACGCTCAGATCGGGGTGGATCGAATGAAAAAGTTCTTTCCATTCCAGATTCCATGCCAATCTATGAAACATGTGGTACTCTTGTGGCGCCTCACTTTGCCATTTGCTCCGTCAAGCAGACATGTCCGCTTCCACGGCCAGCGCCCACCCTCAGCACTGCCTCGACGAGGAGCGACTGCCAACCAGCCAAGCACCAGACGCCCGGTGGCCAACGACGCATCGGTGACCAGCAACCAACGACTTGAGAGCGGCAAAGAAGCAGGGCACCGTGAAGTTTAGTTCAAAATAGTTAGTAGAGATGTTCAAAATAGTTGAGCGAGTCTTTTTTTAGTGACTGACCGGCGCCTTGATCGACAAAATCAAATTCCAATCTCATCGCGCGCAGCAGCGGACGAGCATGAACAGCTACTACGCCGATCACGCTTCCAGCCCTTGCTTCGTTCCGCACTCGTCAACTACTAGTACGCGTACCGCCAGTCGGTTTGTCGGCGATGAGGACGCCGGCACTGTCTACTATAACACGTACGTGCAGATCAACGGGGGGATGGAAACTAGCATGTCTAGAAGGGGTCCGGGCGCGAATTTCCATGTCACGACGCGTCGTAGTCATGCTGCTCGGGTTGACCACCCGTACTATCCATCACTGCTTCACAGCGTTGCGCCGCACCCGTACGCTCCGTTGTTCTCGTATGAGGCACCTCACTCCACGCCGTACTCGGATGCATTCGAGCTGCATGCGGCATCGCAGCACATGCCACCACCGTATATGCCGCCATCGTACATGCCACAGCAGTACATGCCGGCCCCATGCGCACCCCAAGCGTTCTTGCCTCCCCAGTACAGCTCTTCGCAGCCGCCACCGTACGAGACCGGGCGGACGCATCACGCAAGGAGCTCGCAGCAACCCGCAGCACCCCTGCACGCCCCAGCCATTGCGCCGAGGTACTCGCAGTGTGTCCGAGACGGCGGGGTCGACGTGTAAGGATGCATCTTGGACTTATTCAAAGCTGACCCCGTCTGTAGCGTTGCTGCCCCGGTGCGTCGCATTGGAGCGATGCGCACCAACATTTTGGCGGCAGCCCAAGCCACGCAAGAAGATGGGGCAGTTCAGGAAACCCACGAGCAAGGGGTGCGTCGTGACGATGGTGCGATTCATTCATCGTCTTCCGCTCCGATGGCACAAGTCGGCTCCAACATCGACGAAGATCTCGATCCCAACACCCCCGTTGTCCATTGCCCCGACGGCTATGTCGACCTTGCAGCAGCGTTGGACATCATTTGTCTGGCGGATGACCGATCGATCAAGCCGACGAAGACCAAGTTTGAAACGTACATCGACCTCCGGGACCGCGTGCAATTACTCGCCGCTGTCAATCAATTTCAAGTCTCGAAGGAGCACCAGTCTTCCATGCGCAAAATCAGGTGCCGAAGCGACAAGTGCCAGTTCCTCGTCCAAGCAAACGTGGGCAAGAAGGGCTTTAGCGTCACAGCGGTTGAAAGGCTCAGTTTTTACGTGATGGGCTCAAGTGTGCTATAGGTGTGCATGGCCCATAACCACAGCCTGCCACATTCAACACCGATGCCCCCAGGATCTCGAAACACCACGGTCTCAACCAGCATGGTACGCATAACTATCACGGTAGTGTACAACCATCACACACGAGGTAGCTTGTAAAGTTTGCTGTCGAGCTCGAGCTCGGTCCTACATCGGTTCGCGACGAGCTCATTCGGGCTGTGCGCGACAAGTTTGGTATCACGATCTCGTCATCGCGCGTGGCCCTCGTCAAGAAGGGCACCAAGAAGCGCCAGGTAGACACGATCAAGGACCAGTTTGCGAAGCTCTCGCCCTACCTCAAGAAGCTGGTCGAAGCCAACCCAGGGATGTACGCGGCCTTCACGAAGACCGGGTCGTCCTGCCACGGCGCATTTTGCGTTCCCGCTTGTTTCCGCCAAGACGCCAAGATGCTCCTTCTACCCATCGTATTCCTCGGTGGTACCTGGTTGTCCATGATTCCATGGTTGGTTTCAAGCAACCTTAGCTCGTCCCATCAAAAACGACATGCGCGACGTCGGCACCTTGCTTTCGGCAACGTCAAGGGACGGCAACGGCGGCATCGTACCGATTGCCTTCGCCCTCGTTCAAGGAGACCTCGTCGACACGTGGAACTGGTTCTGCGCGCACTTGGCGTTGGCGGGTGTCGCCGATTTCATCGGTTGGTCATTCGTCTCCGACCGCCACCTAGGTTGGTGCAGTGGTACTTATGTGTTTTGGCTTTTCAAATGACATCTTCAGATCTCCTCCGTGCCGTACAAAAGAACTTCCCGCGCGCGCGACACCGCTTCTGCATGCGGCGCATGATCGAACACATCAAACGCTCGCAACACAGCGTCTCCCATACGGATGAAGGCACGCTTTTCGCGCTAGCGAGCAGTAAAAACAGTGATGAATGCACGCGGAGAATGACCGAGCTGCGGACGAGGAAGCCAGGTAAAACGACCCTACGCGTGCATCCAGTTACTTCCCGATCCGTAGCCGTGGCCGGGTACATGTCCAACATTCCCACACGACACTGGGCGACGTTTGCCTCCATCAAAGACGGCGTTCCAACTTTTGACGCGGCGGCGTCCGAGTCCTCCGACCATTGGCTCGGAGCTGATCTCGGTGGCAGCGATCCGGTCGGAGTGTTCTACTTCTACCTCAGCCGCCTGAACAAGACTTTCAACGACCGACTCGAAATGCACTCGAAGGGGTCGGGCATGCTCACAAACAACGAAACCACGGCCTTCGACGCCGTCTCAGTCGAAGCTCGCAACTGCACGGTATATTGCTGCCGAGACGTACGCAAGGCCTTTAACCACACTTGAACAGGTCACGGACCTTCGCACAGGCCACAGCTTCATCGTCACACACTCGAAGCACAGGACACCCGACAAGGCACGTTTGGTGGACATCACAGCCAAGGTAGTTCACGATGTGCTCGTTTGTTTTACCGCGCCATAGACTTGCCAGTGCGGGGCGTGGCAAGACCACTTAAAACCGTGCATGCACGCAGTCGCAGTCGCGATGTTCATCGGTGCCGAGCCACTCACGTGGTACCATACAGCCTACCGCCGCGATGCCTGCGTCTCGCTGTACCGCAACCCGCTGGTGCCTCTCCCACCCCACGACCTCTCTATGGACAGCGACATGGTCAGAAAAATGCGACGACAAGCAAATGAATAAAGGGACGCACACGATGCAAAAGCCAGTGAATGTATAATACGAAACCAATCGACTTGCTGCTCTTTGTTGACCGGGCGCTTTCCGCAGCCAAGTCGCCGGCCACCGCCAAGTTGTTAGACGTTGGTCGAGTCGTTGGCCGCTGCAGTGTCGTTGGTCAACGGTATCTTGGACATTGGTGCTACCGGTACTAGCACCAGAACGGCATGTCAATGCTTCTACGTACTTGAAGACTTGAAGACAGGAAATAGACGCTGGTGGATTTGCTGTCATCCCAACCAGAGCTCGCCGCGTGAGTCAAAGCAACAGCAACGTTGAGCTACCGGTGCTACTATAGTACAGTACTTCCACGACGACGCCATCCTCGCCAAAGGTCCGTCGTGTACAGAGTGATTAGCGACGCATCGACTGTCGTCACCTCAGCACCAGTATTACGAGTTGCTAATACGCGCTGGAATTGGAACCCTTCGCATCCACAAGATCACCTGTGCACGGCTCCTTCAACAAGAGCTCTTGAGGCTTCGTGGGCAGTTGCCACTCATGGTCGTGTGGATGACCACCTCTACCGGAACGCGCTTTACAGATGTCGGGGACATGACGGTCGCCGCACTGGCTGCCTCTGACCTGCTGCGACGGTGAAGAATCCAGTGGCTAAGCTATCACCAGACTAAAGATCGAGTGGCAGCAGAAGAATTGTGTGTGTGTGTGTATTACTATGATGGTGATGTGGTGATTCTACTTGCTTACAAGTGGCCGAGCTTCTTGAGCTTCTTCTCCAAATTGATGAGCATGTCTTCGACCATCGCGTCGAGCTCAAACTGCTCCTTCCAGCCCCAGTCCTTGCGCGCGACGCTGTCGTCAATCGAGCGCGGCCACGTGTCGGCAATGGCTTGGCGGAAGTCCGGTTCGTACGTGATCGTAAAGTTGGGAATGACCTTCTTGATCGACTCGGCGAGCTGCGCCGGCGTGAACGAGAACGACGTGACGTTGTAGACGCGCTGCGAAAGCGAGTCGGACGACGCCTCCAAGAGCTCGTTCGTCGCGCGGAGGCAGTCGGGCATGTACATCATGGGGAGGCACGCGTCGGGGCCGAGGAAGCACTTGTACGAGCCCGTCTTGAGCGCTTCGTAAAAGATCTCAACCGCGTAGTCTAATCGTACAAGGTTGATGAGTGTCGCATGAATCAAGCAAGCAGACATACCGGTGGTGCCACCACCCGGCCACGCCTCGGACGAGATGATACCGGGGTACCGAATCGAGCGGAAGTCCACACCGTACTTCTCGTGGTAGTATTCACCGAGGAGTTCCAAATGCACCTTGGTGATACCGTACCTACCCACGTTGCAGCTAGGTAAGTATCCCATGATGCAAATATGCTGGCACGTACATGGTCGTCGGGCGCATGATGGTGAGGTCCGGGGTCATGTCCTTGGGCGTCGACGGGCCGAAGACAGCCTGGTGGGATAGCATCGTGAGTCATCCTGTTGTGAGCCACAGGACTAGGTCGTACGATCGTCGACGGCGCAAAGACGCGGAGGTTGTTGAGGCGGGCGAGCTCCAAGACGTTCTCAAGGCCGCGCGTGTTGACCTTGAGCGCGAGCTGCGGGTTCTTCTCGCCGATCGCCGAGAGGAGCGACGCGTTGTGGATGATGGTATCGATGCCGTTCTCGAGCACAATGCGGGCGAGGCTACAAAGGCGTGAGTCGGTCATGTCTCCACGGCACAGAGCCAAGAAATACCTGTCGTAGTTCAAGACGTCGCAGTAGACGAACGTGCCCGACTTTTGCTCGCCCTTGCCGGGCATCTTGATGTCCGAGTTGATGACCGCGTCCTTGCCGTGGATGTTGCGAAGGAACGGTACGAGCTCCATGCCGATCTGGCCGGTACCGCCCGTCACGAGGATGCGGCGGCCTTGGTCAAAGACGTTGAAGCCGCCCGTGTACTCGGCAGCAGCCTTCTTGGTGGCGGACGAGTGCGTGAAGCGGCGCGACGCGCGGGCGAGGAAGGCCATGTTGGTTGACTTCCAAAGTGCAAATTCGCAACTGAGAACTGAGCGCGCCACTACGTCCAGCAAGTCAAATCCACGCCACGGATTCCGTGGGCGCTTTTAAATGCGCCGCAACTTATCCGGATGGTATTCTATTCCATATCCATATCTAAAGGTCCGCACCGCAGGAATTTTATTTCTATCCGGTCGAAGTACGCGATTTAAATGAGGGTCCTCAAAATAGACAGACCCACCCGACACCGTGGCATGTGTATTAAAAGGTTCATTTTATTCAAGATGTCGCTTTATCTCGATTTTTGTATGTAAATAGAATTAAAATGGGGGGTATGCGTCAAACGCGACCATTTAATGACGGCCGTGCACGCCCCCTTCGGACATGGGACAGCCGAAGAGGTGCACCCAGCCTTGAAGCTCAAGCGCATGTCCCACGCTTTTTTTGTTTGGCATCATGTATATAGCATTCAGTATGTGGTGAGAAAAAATATCAGATTCGAGCGAGTCGCTAAGCTAAGTACGCAAAATTTACTAAGTGCGGTACGTAAGCTGGCCGAAAACAGCGATGGGATTGGACAAAATTGATAGCAGATGAGGCCAATTGGAAGCCGTGGGGGTTGACGCAGCCAGGTGGACTTGCATTTTCAGCCGCAGGAAGTCGTCGTCGATCCATGAACGTTCATCGCGTGGCAGCCCGAGCGCTCTCGACCGCCGCCCCCACCATGCGACCGCTCTGGATGCTGCGTTACACCTATGTGGATGGCATGCTGCACAAGCGAGACCCGTTCCGGAAGGCTCACCTCGAGCACATTGGCAAGTGGACCGCCAACACCGGCTTCCAGCCCAAGCTTCTCATGGCTGGCGCGTTCGCCGACCCGGTCGATGGCGCTGCGTTCATCTTTGAAGCCGAGTCGCCGGCGATCGTCGAGGACTTTGCCAAGAAAGACCCGTACGTCGCCAACGACCTCGTCACGTCGTTTGACGTGCGTCAGTACAACGTTGTCGAGTTCAAGAAGGCGCCGTAAGCGCCACTGTCAATATCCACATCGTTCTCTTGTCTCCTACGCCGCTATCGGGGTCGTGCATTATATACTCCTAGTCTCGTTCACTACTTGAAGTTCATCAAGTTGACCGCGCCTTGGTGCTTGAGCCGATTCAAGACGCGGTGCGACGAGGGCACGTCTTCCGCCGCCGACTCGTGGCCGTCGTCTTCCTCGACCTCGACGCTGCTCAGATTCGAGCGGCGGCTAATGAACGACGAGTTGCGCTCGAGGCTCATGCGGCGGCTGTTGCGGCGCTGGCGCATCGTCGCTCGCAGCGACGAGAGCGCCGACTGCTGCTCGACGACCTCGATCGCGGTCGTGAGCTCTTCGTGTACGCGCGGGTTGGTCATGGCATTGGCCACATCCAGTAGCACCTCCTGCGACTTGCGCGCTCCAAACGCCGAGACGACATAGTCCGAGTACTCGGACGCCGAGAGACGGCTCGTTCGGAGCTCCTTGGTCATGGCTTTGAACTCGCTCACGCGCTCTTCGTCGCCGTCGACGAGGTCGCGGACTTTGGCGACGACGTCTTTCCCACTCATGCTCGCGGGGCGCGATCGCTGTGGCCGCGTCGGAAACGGCGGCGGCGTCGCGAGCACGGCGTCGCTTGCGGGCCGTGGTCGAGGCGGCGCAACCACCACCATACTCGGTGTCTCGTCGTGGGCTTGCAGCGCATTGCAGAGCGCGCGCTTCTTGATCGGGTCCGGGAGCAGTTGGGCGAGGCTCGGCACCAGCCATGCGCAGAAATCGCGGCCAAAGACTCGCACCATAAAGGCAAAGAAGACGTGGCCTTCGGCGTCCGCGGCATCGGCGGCGGCACGGCCAAAGCGTCGGGCTTGCTTTTGAAACTGCTTGAGCACGTCGACGTCCGTGTGCTCCTGGATGCGCTGGACAATGAGTGCTTGTAACTCTTCTTGCTGCGCCTGCGTCAGGTCATCGTCGGCAATGTCGTCCGAGGACGCCGACACGCGGCCCGCCGAGATGGTCGTCGACGTGGTGGTGGTAGTGGTGGTGGTGGTGGTCGGCGGAGGAAAGTCGTCGAGCACCGAGTCGCCGTGGCTGTCGACATGCGGCTCGACGACATAGCTGTCGTCGGCTTTCGACGTCTCCGAGCCGGCGACGTCGTTTTGCTGTAGGTAGTTGGCCTTGTGCGTCGAGTTCGCAAAGACAACATGGGCGTGAATGAGGGCAAAGTCAGCAAGCACTTGAGAGCCATCGGCCGAGTGAAAGTCGGCAATGTCGGCAATGCTTAGCACCTGCCGAAGGTACTTGCCGAGCGCGTCTTGGCGCTTGGCCAAGAACGACGGCTTGGTGGCTTGGCCAAAAACACCTTGGTCTTGTGCAGTGGCACAAAGGTCACGTCGGCCATGCGACTGCCATAGATCGCGTCGTTGCGCAGGCGCGTGTCGAGGAGCTGGAACTCCTCCATGGTCTTGAAGACGCTCCACTCGACCGCGGTCATCTCGAGCCGCGGCGCGGTGCTGCACTTGGCCTTGCATGCAATCTCAAATTCCTAGCCACCTGTATGAGACGGACCAAGCAGACGCAAGTGGACGTACGGCGGTCTTGCCGAGGACGCGGTACCCGCGCACGTGCATGTGCAGCGAGATGACCATCTCGATGGTTGGCAGCATCGCGCGTCGGCCGAAAAGAGCGTTTGCCGGCCGTCATCGTGCCAGGCGCACGCGCTCCGATTGGCTAAAAATCTAGAATTACTCACCGAACGCTGGCCCGTCTGGTCTGGCACCCTGAATCTTTGCGTCCTTCCATCGACCAGATCGATCGCAGATAATACGTACACTAAGCTTCTTCCTGGCGCCAACGAAACACGTACAAGTTGGGCAGAGATCGCAATCAGCTCCAATGGCACACATCTCTTGTGTACATCGCTGCCTTTCTCGCCCCGTTCGCATGGACTGGACCGAGATACTCGTTCGCCTGGCCCTTTTTGGGTGTGTCTCTGCATGATGGCTGGCGCTGTCAAATGCGGCAGTCTGCAGGTCCGAGGCAGCGCAAGCAAGGAAGGGTGGTGGGCCTCATTGGCAAGACGCCAACATCGATCACCCAGCTACTCTCTGTACTACCGAAGGTTCGTGGCGACGGAAGCAAAGGTTGATCGATGCAGGCGCACGGTCCATACCAGAACTGTGGTGACAAGGCGTCATTGACTCTACTCGGTGACGCAAACACAAGTCAATGGGCTGCTTGAAGCCGTCCATTGACTTGGGAGATGAATGACCCAGTCGTGCTTGGTTGCAGCGCGGTGCTATGGTGCAAGCTCGAATGCTGGCCGCGCCGATCGGCCAACCTCCGCAGCACCGACTTCAACCAGGTACGTACGCACAGCCGTAGCTACTCGTACGTGTAAGGCAACGAGGCGCACCTTCAAGCAGATGCGATCAGAATGCACGTTGGTCAGCTACCTTAACCGTTTGCGGCCATTCATCCCTTCCGCCGTGCACTTGGAGAGTGTTGAGGCAAGCGAGAGGACGCTGGCAGCATATTGCCGGTTCCAGCAATGAACCGATCGGATATTCGGATAACTTTGTTTTAACCGGTTGGCACGCAAGCTTTGGTCGCCACACAGAAGCATGGCCGACACGACGACGCCCTCGATCTGCCCGCTCCTGAACGAGACCCGGCACCTCATCGACTGCCTCGGGTACATTGACTCGACGGCGAATGAGGACGCCGACATGAAGAAGCTCGTGAGCCTGCAGATCCAGCAGCAAATGGCGGCGATGCCGGCGTTCGACCCGAGCGCATACCTCGCCTACCTCCCGGCGCTCGAGCTCGAGACGAAGGAGATGAAGCGCGTGGCCGCGGGCGTCGCTTTGGACGCGATCAACACGAACAAGTACCGCGTCGTGCCGCCGTCGACGGGGCTTCTCAAGAAGTCGCAGGATCTCCACGCCCAAGTCGAGGCGTGGCAGACGGCCAATGCCAATGCCAAGGTCGCGATCGAGTACGAGACGTCTCGGATTCTCAACCTCGAAATGCTCAACAAGTATGGCGCCGACCGCTGGAAGCTCCACGTCGGCGTCCTCAGCGGCGTCCACGACAAGTGCGTCATGGAGCTTGACGAAAGCAAGGCCGCGACCGAGGCCATCAACATCAAGCGCAAGCAAGAGCAGCTTCTCAACGCCGACAAGCTATGGGGCCTCGAGCGCAAGCGCGACGATCTGCTTCGCAAGACGCAATACATCGAGGTCCTCCCTATTCCGCCTTCCATGCTCATGCGCTCTCGTCTTCTAGGCGGCCTGCGATGCCATCGAGCGCGACGTCAAGCGGCTAAAGACAGCAGCTTAAGAGAACCGTTCGCCTTTCTTTCCTCCTCGCAAGCCTTATATCAAAATCAAGTCGATTTGCATTTATAGCGTCGTCTTGGCCGTCGATGGCGTCGGCGTCTTGGCCGGAACCGTCACGACGCCACTCGTCGCACTGCCACTCGTGTCACTCTCGGCGCCGTCGACGACCGACGACGCATCGACCTTGACGCAGAAAATGGTGCCCGAGCCCTTGAACTTGCGCAAGGCCGCCGAGTAGTCTTCGTTGTACGCCGTCCATGTGTTGTCCGTGTAGAGCCCGTACATGTACTCGCCTTTCGTCGGGTTGTACTCGTAAAACGACTCGGAGTTGAGACTCCACGCAAAGCCGCCCGACATGTTGCGGTCCTGCGAGTACGAGATAAACGCCTCGATCGCGCGGGTCGAGCTCTTGCTCGGCCACTTGTCGTTGACGCCGTAGATGCCGCCAAACTCACCAAACATGACCGGCGCCTTCGCGGCCGCCATCGCCTTGCCAAACGACCGGTCGAGCGCCGCATACACGTTGCTTTGGAGCTTGGCGTTGCCGTCGGCGTCGTTGGGAAACTCGGTAAAGATGTTCTTGTCGCCGTCTTGGACCGCAAAGTAGTACGCGGCTGGGTACACGCTCGGCGAGTAAAAGTGCGGCGCATACACCACCTTGTTCTTGATGCTGAGGACGACCGGGTTGGTCGAGGCATTGTTGAGCGACGCACCCCACCAGTCCCCGTACGACAGCTTCGCGCCGCCGTTCGTGTTGGGATACGCAGCCTCAATCTGCTCGAGCGTGCCCTCGACGTACGCCATCCACTTGGGGCATGCCTTGAGCATTGCATTGCCGAGACGCGTCGCGCCTTGCTGCCAGTTGTTGCTGGCCGGGCAGGAGGCATCCGGCGTCGTCGCCGACGCGGGCCAGCAGCCCTTGTGCGGCTCGTTCTTCAAGTCGATGCCAATCACGTTGTAGTAGTTGGCGTTGCAGAGCGTCGTCGCCAGCATCGTGATGGCTTTCGTCGTCTGCGCCTCCGTGACCGTGGCACTGTACCAGAGCCCTTCGGACGCGTCCGTGTTGAGGTTCTTCGGGTCGAGCTTGTGGATGTCGAGAAGGACCGCGATTTGCTGCTTCGCGAGACCGACAATCACCTTCTTGATCATGTCCATGTAGCTGTTGACGTTGAACTCGGCGTTCACGACCGGGTCCACGAAGTCCTTGACGTTGGGCGCCGCGTTGCTCAGAATCATCTGCACGTTGAGGGGCAGGCGCACGGCTGTCACGCCTTGGTCGACGAGCTTGGCCGAGATCGCATCCATCGTCGACTGGCCAAACGCAAGGCCGTGAGGGACGCCCTCGACGTTCTCCATGCCACTCCAGTTGATGCCCGTGATCACGATCGGCTTGACGAGACCGCTCGAGTACTTGGCGACGACACCGCCAAAGCCATCCCCGACAAAGTTGGGCAGCTCGCAAACTACGAGATACAGAGCATGAGCGGTGCGCCAATGCTAAGCGCGCACGTACTCTTGGCCGGCGTCGGCGGCGCGGGCGTGCGATCCAGGATCTTTTGCGAGAGCGTTTGTTGGCCTTGGGCCTTAAAGTAGAGCTTGCGGCCAAACCAAATGATGCCAAAGATTGCGCCACCAAAGACGAGGAAGAGGAGCAGCCAGCCAGGCCAGACGCGCTTCCGGCCCGTGTGCTTCTTCTCCGAGTTGGCCTCTTCGCTAACGCCGACCTTGATATCGGGCTTCATGGCGGCGGCCGCCGACGAGCGCGACGAGTCGAGGATCGTGCTTGGGCGCACGGACGAGTGCTCGGTCGACTCCATGACGGCCACACCGCCGGGGTTGACGTAGTCGCCGTACATGTGCTCGGCGCTGCTGTCCTGCCACACGGGTACATGCGCCATGTCGTCTTCCTGGACGTGCGACGTCGAGTCCATGTACTGGTACGGAGGGCGGCCTCCTCCTTGCGTCGGCGCGGCCATGCTGCGTCTACCGTCGACCAAGAAATATGAGAAATATGGGTCGCCGCCTTAATGTATGGCGCATTCGAACCCGCGCCATCTGCGCTTTGGGATCGTATTTTTATACAATATTTTATTATAGCTTGCTCTTTGTATGCAACGACCATACGTTCGCACGGCCGGATTTTAAAACGAACATCACGACACCGGTGAGTAATGCGCGTGGAAAATTCCACTCTTGCCGCGATTATCCGGATACGACCGCTGCAACACGGTGTTTTTCACGTTTTTCACCGCTTCTCGCGTCGTCGGCATGGCAAGCCGCCTGCACCGTTCGAGATGTGTGGTGTGCTACTACTGAGTACAATACGTTGGAGATAAGCACACGCAGCTAGGGTGCTACAGCAAGCGTGATCCGGCAAGGGCATCGTGGTGGCAAGCGAAGCACCGCAAGCTCCGATGTGGGGCGATTTGATTGGCTAAAAGAGCTACGTGAACTCTAAAATCAACCAATCAAAACCTGTCGTGATGTGTTTTAGGATCTTTCTCACCACCAATGACGGGTTTTATTAAAACTCACCCTTTTGCACGTGTTCTGATTATCCGGATCGACCCGCCTGCGACACGGTCCCCCAGCCCCCAGCGTCGCCGACCAAAGTTTGGCTTTTAGGACGTCGAGCAGAGAGGATCGTATTATAAGGACTTGGCATTCTGCGTACGGCAAAGGCTCGTACACAGGCTATGTGGGCACTGCTCCTACCAGGTACCAAGCCAGGCAGTAACAGGTAGCTCCTCGATCGTCCGCCCGTGGTACAGTGAGCGCACGGTCCTGTGACGTGATTGGCTGGCATTTTACACACCACATGGTCCACACGTGTGTGAATGAAGGTGAGATACACCACTGCGCCGTATCCGGATAGAATTGGGTATCCGAACTTGCCGCTTGGAGCACCGATGGCCGACGAGACGCTCACGTCCGTCTTGAGCAATGCGCGGTCGGTCAACTCGAAGCTCATGAAGACGAACCTCGGGCTGCTCATGGCCATCAGAGAGACCGACTGCGACATCGTGCGAGCCAAGAAGCTGCTGCAAAAGCACCACCACGCGATGCAGCGGCGCGGCCAGAGCATCCCCGCTGCATGCCACTACCAGACGAGGCCGCATGGCAGTGGCGCGCCACCACCACGCCCGCCAGACGAGCGCGCACGAGGTCAAGAGCAGGACGACGACCCAATGTCGGACTCGAGTAGCGATACCTCGAGCAACGACTGATCAATGATGACAATTGTAGTGATACCTTTGACCTGACCTCGTTAGCACCTCCTTCTATGCGTCCAGTCGCGGTGCCACTGTCGTTGTCTGCACGTAGGCTCGAGCGCACATGCTAGAATCGACAGAGACACGTCGTCAGGCGCGCAGGGCTCCATCCATTTGTCGAGCACAGCGACATGGACCAGCAGTGTCGCTGTGGCCCGGACAAAGATGCACTTGGTGCTTGCACGTGGTTGACGTCATGCACACTACACTCATATGTGCTCGTGACGCACGGACGCTGCCCAACATACTCTAGCAGCGAATCAATCTGCCACGGTGGGTGTCTTGGACAAGGTTGCGTCGCCGCGCCTGCGCCCATGTTGCGACGTATGGCCCTGGCCATGGCACTCTACCACCATGTAGCTTGCATCGCCCATGTACAGAGGGCGTCTTGCGCGCTGCTACAATCCCATGGGACCTCGACTGCTACCTGCTGCGCCGCTTCGCCACCAAGATCGCGGTCGGGTGGCGCGTGCTATATTATTATCTTGCTGTTTGTATGCTCTGCTGGCATGGTTTTATCAAGTAAACGTGCCAACCGGAATCGGATGACGACGCCACCAGTGTTTTTGGAGGTGGCGATGGACGACACGGTGCCGTGCCCGTACTGCCATGCGCTCTTCCCGCGCCTCGACCCGGCCTTCGTCCTCGCCCGCCACGTGACGCAGTGCGCGCTCAAGGCCTGGCCGGCGCCTGCCGATGCGCTGGACGCCAAGCATTGCCCGATCTGCTGGCGGGTGTTTGACGAGCACGTCAAGGCGTTCGAGATCGTGCTCCATGAAGAAGAATGCGAGCGCGTGAATGGCTCATTGAAGAAGGTCGCGCACCAAAAGCGGCGCCGGCCCGTCGGAACGACGCCGCCAAGCGTACCGACAAAGACCCGGTCGTCGCCGGCCAAGACCAAGGCGCCCGAGATCACGGACGCCTCGACGCCGCTCTGTTTTGTGTGCGGCACGGGCGGCCGACAGCTCCTCTCATGCTCGGGCACATGTACGCGGTCGTTCCACATTGCGTGCATTGGCGAGAGCGCGTCGCTTCTCCACCGCCCGTACGTCGCGCAGCGCCGGCGCTGGAAGTGCGCCGAGTGTTTCCGGGGCATCCACATGTGCTTCAAGTGCGGCATGGTCGGCGACGACGACATAGACTCTTTCAAGTGCTCGATCACCGGCTGCGGCATCTACGCCCACCAACGGTTGGTCGCTTCGTGTCACCTCGTTTCTTAGGCTGCATGCTGCGGTAGGTGCATGGCCAAGGGCCAGGACCCGATGCTCTTTGTGTGCCCGCGCCACGCGTGCAGCGTCTGCAAGAAGCACGGACTCGCCCAGGCCGACGCGCTCCTCTGCTACCAATGCCCCGCCGCGCTGCACAAGACGTGCCACTCGACCAAGTCACCGTCTTTTACGGCACTGGTCGGACACCATGGCTGCTGCGGCCACCATAGCACACTGCGCACGCTCCCGCCGAGCCTCCGGAGCAAGCTCAACGTTGGCGACGTGGTCTTGGTGCTCAACTTTGGCAACTCGCACTTGCCGCTTGAGGCGAAGCAGCTGCATTCAAACCAGTGGGGTCGCGTTCTCTCGGTCGAAGGCATCGAGTTTAGCGCGCAGCTATTGACGGTCGCGCTGTTTGCGTGCGACTTGACGCTGACGCTGACCAACCAGCACGCAGTGCCCGTGACGACGCCGTATGAGCCCACCGTACGACGACGACGTCTGGTCCTCGGCCTGACCAGATACATCGATGTAGCGAGCGTTCTTGCAGCACTGCGTCACGGTCCATCTCCACGCAGAGCTCCACATTCGCGGCCTCTCCCCAGCGTCCATGGAAGCCGAGGTAGACGGCGTATTTTACATCTGATATGAACGATCCTGTGTAGCGATCCCAGCTCGTGATGGACTCGGTGCTCGCGTTCCAGCACCTCGCGCAGCTCCATGCCATTTCGCCCGATGACGTGATCGAGATGGCGACGCACGCGTACGAAAGCTGGCGCGTGCGCGACAAGACGCGCCCGAAGAACGTGTTTGGAGCGCTCGATACTCGCCGCCGCGTGCGCCCGACGTCGCCCAAGAAGGGACCGACGCGGCAGTCGGCCCGCGCGTCGACGCGGGCGTCGTCAATGGCCGAGGCGTTCCAGCCGCGGACGATTCCGCTGGCGTCTCTCGCTGCGTCGAGTGGGACGCAACACGAGATCATTGCGATCGATGACGACGACGACGAATACGACGACGATGCTCCGCTTGCGTAAGCACCTTTCGAATCGCCTCCGACCTCGAAGAAATGATGAGGTCAACCCAATATGACATCGACGCCGTATCCGACTACATTAGACGAGTTGTCATCGTTGTTCTTGTTGGCGAATGGTTCCTTTGGGGCAGCCAACGCAGCATGCTAGGAAGACAAACCGACTCGGAATACCAGTTGTCATTGAGTGTACCAAGCACGGTCTCGAGGTAAAAGCTGCGACGCCATGAAGATCCCGTGGCTGCGGTTGATGCGCAAGAGATACGTCGACGGTTGGTGCGTGTGGATATCGTATATCTTCAAAACCTTCGATCATATCAACCGAACAGCTACAGTACGAGGTTAGCAACATGTGCTGGCAGTGTGGTAGCCTGAGTGTCTTTCCAGACCGTCTGGTCTAGTACGGGCCAGAAACAAGTCTGCGAGTAGAAATTAACGCACGTCATCCCGCGCGCCTCTGCGGACGCTCATCGAAATGCAACTGCGTGCAGCGACCTCGGTCGTACGTTATAGTCACGCCCTGAGTCACACCTTTCTCCCAAGCGGCCATTTAGTTGTGCGGACGAAAGACGCCGCGAGGGGCTCGGGCTTGACAAGCAAGCTTCTCATTCTTAATTGCCTCCAGCAGCTGCTGTGAAATCGCTCAATTGAGCGTGAGAGCAAACTCGCAAACTCGCAAACTCGCAAAATGCGAGCGAGCGTTCAAATGACCGCATGGCAAATCTGTGCACGTCACGTGTTGTCGCACGCCAAATTGCACTTACATGATTTGCACCATCACTTCCATCGCCGGCTGCGCGCCTCCGAGGACGCACTCGCAGCAACTTGGCTACTTGTGAGAGAGAAGGGCAACATGGCCATTACATACAATTCCATTTCATTCGTGTCCTTGCCTCTGGCGGCGAACATGTTGTCGACGCTCCTCGTCATGGCTGCGCGTCGTCATCAATTGAGACGAGCGAGTCAGTTCCTTCTACCGTAGACCGATCACGTAACCCACCAAGTCAGTTTTGTGGTGTACATGCGCTCTGGGACTGTCGCGCTTCTTTGTAGAACGCTGCCATGGCCACGTCAAAATAAGGTACCGGTAAAGCGTTGATAACGGCCAAGCCACTCACTTGGCTGGGAGAGCAACGACACCACGTGGCACCACCACGTGTCACGATCGAATGTACGGCTGCGATACCGCGAACATAGGTAAGTGTCGTTATTCCACTGGCGCTCTGTAAAAGCATTTTGCCATCGACGACGCAAGCAGCTGAAGGATGGTGGCGCCGGTCAAAATTTGGCTCTTTGACGAGGCCGATTTGTACCCCAAGGAACCTAGCCACGTCACGGCGCTCGATACGCAGTCGTACCTCCACGCGTCCAAGCTCATCACCGACGATGCCTTGTATGACGACGACGACCCGTTCATTGACGGTGACGCGCTGCGGGAAGGCGGTGCACTCGACCTCATGAGCCGCGAAGCCATCGGGCTCCTCGGCCAGTACGCGGCCGTCGGTATCATCTACGGCTGCCTTCCCGGTCTCCTCTACCCGCTCTACGTCAAGTACCTCAACTTTTCAGGCTTCCAAGCGTCGTCTTACAAAGTACTCGTGACGCTCTGCTGGTCGTTCAAGGTGTTTCTCGGGATGCTCACCGACTGCTTTCCCATCGGCGGCTACAAGCGCAAGCCGTACATGCTTCTTGGCTGGAGCATGTGTCTCGTGAGCGTCGTGCTCATGGCGCTCAACCCGTTCCCAGACCCGTACATTGGGACCGCCATCGCTGGCTTGAGCCCGCGCATCATTGCGCGCGTCCGCGGTGGCAACCTCTCGGTCTTGTCGAAGGAGATGCAAACGCACATCAACATGGACGCGCCCAACCAAGGCAACTTTTGGATCCTCCTCTCAACGCTCGGCAGCTTTGGCTACATGCTCGCCGACGTCGCCGCCGACGCCATGGTCGTTCAGTACGCCCAGCGCGAGCCGATTGCGATCCGGGGTCGATTGCAATCGGCGATTTACTCGGTCCGGTACGCGTGCAGCATGATCCCGCTGCTGCTGATCGGCTTTTGCATGAACGGGCCGCAGTACGACGGCAGCTTCAACTGGTCCATGAGCCCGAACCTCATCTTTGCATTGCTCGCGCTTCCGTGCGTGATGGCCATGTGGTGCTGCATGTTTCTCATCGTCGAAGATCGCGATGTCAAGCCGTACTTCCGCAGCTACCTCCAGAGTCTCTGGAACCTCCTGCGACTGCGGGTCATGTGGCAGATCTGCGCGTTTCGGTTTTTGAGCAATTTCTTCTACTCGTTTGACACGACCGTGACGCTCATCATCCCGAGTCTCTGGGCCAACGTCCAACCGCTGACGAAATCGATCACGGCGGTCCTCAACGCGCTGCTCACGTCGGTGGCCATCTACATTTGCGGGCGGTACGGCCTCAACTGGAACTGGCGCGTCTCGATCGCGCTGGCCACGATTGGCGTCTTGGTCATCGATGCGTCCGTCATCTTTGTCACGACGTGGGGGGTGATCCGGAACGAGTATTTCTTCACCATCTCGCAATTGGCGTACAGCCTTCCGGCAGGCATTCGCTTCATTGTGTCGGGCTACTGCGCGGTCGAGATTGCCGACATTGGCAACGAAGGCGTCGTCTTTGGCCTCGTCACGACGATCGTGAACCTTGCGACACCGTTTTCGACGGCATGCTACAAGCTCATCGACTCGTACCTCGACCTCTCCAACAATGATCTCGCAAGGGACTCGACGCACGTGCGCTGGCAAGTGACCTACGCGTTCGTTATCTCGTACGGCTTCAAGTTTGCGTCGTTGCTCTTCCTTGGCTTGTTGCCACCGCAGAAAGCTGCTGTCCAAAAGCTCAAGCGCAACGGAGGCGCCAACTCGTATGCAGCCACCGCCGTCGTCGTCGCGTTCTTCGTCGCGCTGCTCTTCTCGGTCGTGACCAACTTTATGGCGCTCTTCCCGCGCACCTCGTGCTATCGTATTGCGGGCGGGAACGGACAGCCCATCATCCAAGGCAACGTGACAATCTGCGGCTAATACGTCGCTTCAGCTACTAGTCTTTCTGTCCGCCCGTCCTAGTATAATCCAAGCGTTCTTATATCATTCTCGACATCGTCTATTGTCCATCAAGCCCAGCTTCCAATCATGGAAAGACCCAGTCGACTTGAAGCTCCTACTTGGCATGGCGTTTCTGGAAGCAGGAAATCTAGCTTTTAAATTGATACATTGATCGTTTGATAGAGAGGTAGTTTGGTTGATTGATAATTTGATTGATAGATAGGACGTTGATTCGCGTGAAACAACATTGCGTTCGGGCTGTGCGCTCAGTGCAGGAAGAGTGTCGCCTGCGTGCACACCCTTCGTGTGACGCTGCAGTATCTCGCACGAGGAGCAATCTCTACCATAAAACTTCTAACCTTCAGGATACGGCCTTTCCCACTAAGCGTTTCGTCCCTTGCTCTCAGAACATATCCTTTCTCAGTTTGCACTAGTATGCAGCAGCAGCACGAGAACAACAAGGTGTGGCTCTTTGACGAGTCCGAGCTGCTCACGCGTCACACGACGGTCGTTCACTCGCCCGATGCGTACCTGCAGGCGCCCAAGACGATCGGCGATCCAACTTACGGCGGCGACGGCGACGACTTGTACCTTGGTGGCGCAATCCGCGAAGGCGGTGCGCTCGAGCTGCACTCGAGGGAAGCGATTGGGCTCCTCGCACAGTACGCAGCCGTTGGCGTCGTCTACGGCTGCCTCCCCGCGCTCGTGTACCCTGTGTACGTCAAGTACATGAACTTTGCTGGCTACGAGGCCGCTTCATACTCGGTGCTCATCACAATCTGCTGGTCGTTCAAGGTCTTCCTCGGCATGCTCTCGGACTGCTTTCCCATCGGCGGCTACAAGCGGCGGCCGTACATGCTCATCGGGTGGGCCGTTTGCCTCGCGTGCATGTGCCTCATGGCCTTCGTGCCCTTTCCCGACCCGTACCTTGGCAGAGGCCTCGGCCTCTCGGCGGCCGCGAGCAGCAAGGTGCGCGGCGGCGACCTCTCCAACTTGACTGCCGACCAGAAGCGGCTCGTGAACGTCGATGCGGCGAGCGAAGCCAACTACTGGATCCTCCTCTCGTCGCTCGGCAGCTTTGGCTACATGCTGGCCGACGTCGCGGCCGACGCCATGGTGGTCGAGTATGCGCACCGCGAGCCGATTCATATCCGAGGTCGACTCCAATCGGCCATCTACGCGGTCCGGTACGCTTTTAGCATGCTGCCGCTCCTCGTCGTGGGCATTTGCATGAACGGGCCCGAGTACGACGGCAGCTTTACGTGGTCGATAAGCCCGAACGTGGTTTTTGCGCTTTTGATTGCGCCGTGCGCGCTGGCCATCTGGGCGACGCTCTTCCTCATCGTCGAGGACCGCGGCGTCAAGCCGCATGTTCGCAGCTACCTCTGGAACCTCTGGAGCCTTCTGCGACTGCGGGTCATGTGGCAGATCTGCGCGTTCCGCTTCTTTAGCAATTTCTTCTACAAGTTCGACTCGACCGCGACACCGATCATTCCGAGTCTCTGGGCCAACGTCCAGCCCCTCACCAAGTCGCTCTTTGCCGTCGCCAACGCGCTGCTAACGTCGGTGGCCATCTACATTTGCGGGCGGTACGGCCTCAACTGGAACTGGCGCATCACGATCGCGCTCGCTACGATCGGTGTCATGACCATCGACGGCACGATCCTCATGCTAACGACGTGGAATGTTGTCCGCGAAGAGTACTTTTTACGTCATCCCTGCTGCCCAACAGCCTCCCAGCAGGCATTCGGTTCATTGTGTCGGGCTACTGCGCAGTCGAGATTGCCGACATTGGCAACGAAGGCGTTGTCTTTGGCCTCGTCACGACGATCGTCAACCTCGCAACGCCCTTCTCGACGGTCTGCTACAAGCTCATTAGCTCGTACTTGACGCTTTCGCCAAAGGATCTGGCCGCCGACACATACGACGTGCGCCTCCAAGTGACGTACTCGTATGCGATTGCGTATGGTTTTAAACTCGCCTCGTTCGCGTTTCTGCCACTGCTGCCACCGCAAAAGGCTGCGGTGCAAAAGCTCAAGCGCACCGGCGGCTCGAGCACGGTGGCTGCCTTCGCGGTGCTTCTCGTGTTCTCCGTGGCCTTGACTTTTTCGATTGTGACCAACCTCATGGCGCTCTTCCCGCAAACGTCGTGCTATCGCATCGCAGGCGGCAACGGCCTCCCGCGCGTCAAGAACAACGTGACCATCTGCGGCTAGATCGTAGCACTACTATGAGTACACGATGATGCGCATCTGTTTTAGCAGGCGATGCTCTCGGTTGGGGAAAGTGGCAGAGGAATGTATGACGTTCACGTTCCCTACCTACAGGCAAACACAGTCCAACGCGGGAGCTGCACATGTGCACCGATCGCAACGACCTCCACATACCGGCCTTTGGTCGGGAACCACGCCGCAGTGCGAGGCTTGTTGACAGCAGATGGCTGTGCGAGGACCGCCGAGTGGACGAGGCTCGACACCGACGATCGCATCATCAGCCATGCAGCCATGCAGCAGCTGGAGACAAAGTGGACGGCTTGCAAGCGCCACTTCTGCCATCGTTTCTTCTTGCAACCATAGATCCCCGTCAATCCAGGGGTCTACTGAGCTAGCACCAGGATGACGACGGTTAGAAATTAGTCCTCGCGCCAGATACCCCAACCCCCACCTACCCCACACAGCCCACGACCCGTACACCGATGAAGTGATGGTGTTCAATGTGCTGTAGGCATCCGTCGAGGCGCTCATGGGAATGGCGTCTGGCGTCTGCAGCCAGCATGTACAAGCGTCGAGAGGACAGAAAGCGCAGTCGTATTCAAGTGTCGGACAGCGTCCACTTACATGGTCGCGGCAAACACCGGGTTGTGACGCGCGATCCGAGGGCCCTCTTCTTCGTACTGGGCCTTGGTGTGGCACACACGGTGGAACTCGGGCGTCGAGGCCACCATGGAGCCGCCAAACCAGACCGCGAAGCGCTGCATGCGGTGCGAGATGACGTTGACCTCGAGCTCCTCGGCCGACTGCTTGGCGTACTTGGAGTGGCGCGCGAGGTTGGCTTGCTGGCGGTCGTCGGCAAGGCGCTTGATGTCGCGCTGGAGCCGGCGGCCAAAGTCTTTGAACATGGTCGAGCCGCCGCTGAGCACAATGTTCTTGTAGAGCCCACGACGGCAATCGATCGGGCACTTGAGGATCGCTTCGTCGACGACATTGGGCAGCGGCACGGTAAAGTCCGACGAGAAGATCTCGGGGTTGAAAAAGATCTCAGGCGCAAGGAAGCGCTCGTAGCCCACGTCGATGGACCACGGCTGCTTCGTGCGCGGGTGCACGTCAGCGTATGGCACGACGTACTTGGCCGGGTTGGCGTCGTATTTCTTGAACTCCTTGACAATGTCCGGGCACACGTAGCTGTGCATCTCCTTGACCTTGCGCGCGACCTCGAGCGACTCCTCCGGCGGCACAGGCTCGCCACGGTCGCGCATCATGCGCTGAATGAACGACGTAATGTCGCGACCTGCAAGGGGCACGTGGCTGATGCAGCTGCCAATGACGTAGCCGTCCGCGACAGGGATGACGTGCGTGACACCGTCGCCCGAATCGATGACTGTGCCCGTCAACGAGCGCATCGAGGGATCCTGCACACATGCGCGTCAACCATGCGTATTGGAGCATGGACGTCTACCTTGATCTTGGGCCACGATGCGTACAGGGCGAGGACGGCCTGAACCGCGATGTACAAGCCGGGCACGTTGAACGTCTCAAACATGATTTCGGCCGTCGCCTCGCGGTTCTCGGGCGGGTTAAGTGGCGGCTCCGTCTACAGCCACATGAGCGTCGGATGCGGCGCCGAATTGCGTCGTACCAAAAGCATGTAGTGCTCTTCGGGCTCGCAGCGAAGGTGCTGGAACAAGCAGCGCTGCCACATCTTCTCCATGTTGTCCCAGTTGTCGATGATACCCTGCTTGATCGGGTAGTTGAGCTGGTGCGTCGATGCGTTCTCGAAGGCTTGGTTGCCAATGTGGAAGTCAAGGTCGTCAATGCCTTGGCTCTGGCCGACGCGGCTCGACGTCGTGTTGGCCTGGACCGCAATCGTCGACGGGATGATGTAGCTCGGCTCAGCGTTGCCGGCGTAGCCCATCTTGGTGAACCTACATGGGCGCATGAGGCGGCGACGCCACCGTCGAGGCCAAGTCGTACCCCGTGCCATTATCGATCACGACCGCTGGCTTCATGCTCATTGTGCTTCGCCTCGAAAGTGTGAGGAAGATAGATCAATCGGTTGTGACGGGATTCATTTTGAGAGGTTTTCAGTCAACATACATTCTTGTCTTGGCCGACCACCACATGGCAGGTCCCAACGACCTACGACCCCTGGCCGCGGCCGCCGAGAGAGCAGGCATGGCCTCGCCTTCAAACCGCTATCGTCCTTGCGTAAGCATCAGCGCGGTATGGGCATCGGGCGTGGGCGGCGAACGGTCGGTGCTATAGCACCGACATAGCATGCCGAGGGACACGCGTCGTTGTCGTCGTCGCCGCTGGTCCTGCTTGGGCCACGCTAATCATAGCGACCGAGCTCTTCTTGTGCGCGTACATTATTGGCCACAGATCGACCACGCTCTGCGATCCTCCGCTGAGTGCACTTGGACGCGTCGTTGCCGTGTTTCTCAATGGGTGGCTGATAGGCTCGTTGATGAGCACGACGCACTGCATCTCGCCCGTACTCTCGATTGTGACGTCGTCTTGGTTGCCGTTGGCCGAGAGCAGAAAGACCGAGTGCGGCTGCCACCGATTGAAACCCTCGCCCGCGATGTGCGATCACGATTGCCTCGACGTTCGCCTGTTCGGCGCGCGGGGGGTATTCGGCCCGAATCTCCGAGTACGCAGGTTCTGTCATCTAGAGCGACTTTGGCAAGTGAAGCTAGAGCTGGAGCCCAATTGCGGGCTTCTTGCAGCCATGAAAGTCTTTGTGGAGGATCCTGGCAGGCGAGTGTGGCAAGAGAAATCGTCTCAAAGCCTCGGTGCCGGTGGTCGAGAAACCTGCCAGAAGCTAAACTCATCGAGCATCAAGAACGGGTCCAGGCGGCGCAGCATCGGGTGACCAACGCACCAGCGCATTATTGCGCTGACACCTTCGCGTTAGGCTATCCAGAGAAATACTTGGAATGAATGGATCGGGATGTCAACTTGGTGGTTGATTCGTCCATGTGGTCATGCCAGCAAGTACCGAAATGCGATGCAAGCCATCCACCCCAACGCACAAAAGGCTCATTGTGTCGATGAGTGGCAACGTTTGATTGGCTTAAAATACCAACACCTCGAGCGCTGATTGGTCATGTACATTTCCTGTGCAAGGACGGCGATTCTGCAGGTAAAGGAACCAATACCAGCAGCGCCTACTGCATCGACAGTAGTGATGTACAGCTCCTCCGACACATGAGAACGCGAATCGCGATGCCGCGAGAGGGCATGGAAGGCTCCGTCGTTTGAAACGAGGAACTCTGGTTATCGGTGCAAGCAGCCCAGGACGACTTGGTCATTCTACTCACTCTGCCAAGTCGACAATGCAACGCGTGTATACTGCAAGGGCTTGCCGCAGTGCGTCTCGGAGCCTGGTTGGGTCGAGCGACGACGCCATAAAGACGCGCAGTGCGCGTGGGCTCGGTACACGGCTCGTGTGAAGCAATTTCTGAAACTCGTGCTCCGCGATCGTCGTGGGGAAGGTCGCGAGTACGTTGGCAATGAGCTGCAGTGCATGGATCGGACTGGGTGGTGCCAATAACGCGTCCAGCGGGTGCACTTGCGCCGATTGATCGCGCGTCGTTTTGGTGATTGGGGCCTGCTCGGCGACCACTTTGCAGTAAACACTGCGCGCGAACGCGGGAAAGACCGCGCGGACCACGCTCTCGTAGAGCAGCGGCTCGAGCGCACCGTCCGGTCCGACGACATCGATGATCTCCGGGAGGCAGTAGGTCACCATCGCGGTCAAGAGCGCGTCCCAGCGCGACACGAGGAGGTCGCACGTCGCTTGTGTCGAGGTTAGAAAGAGCGACTCGTGCACGTCGCGCAAGAGGCTCTGCACAAGCTTGAGCACGGGCGTCTTGTCCGAAACCAGAAGAAGCTCCATGTACAGTGCGAGGCGGTCACTCGCGACGGGTACTGTGTGCTGCAGGGCGCACGCAAATTTGAAGGGCACCACGCGGTTCGCCTCGGACGACGTCGACGAACGCCGCGGGGGTATGTCACCGAACGACGCGACGCGAAAGGCGGACGAAGACATGTACGACGCCTCGATGCTTTGGAGCGCGAGCGACCGGGACTGCAGTCCGTCCATCGGGGGTGGCAGTCCTTGAAGAAAGGCCTGGACGCCGTCGTGGGCCGGAAAGACATAGCTGCGCTCGAGGGCATTCTCGACGACGCGAAGGGCGTCGTACTGCCGCGTGAGCTTCTCGACGTCGATGCGACCGGCGGTAAAGAGCGGCGTCGTGCGGAGTCGCTCCAGTGTCGCACCGACGACGCCTAGAAACGGCAACGTCGCGGCGGTCCCGCTCATGAGCAGCTGTTTCTTCCGGAGCGTCTCGAAGCCGCCATTGTGGTCGCAGAGCGACCGCAGCTCAAACAGCTGTGCTTTGCACTTGGCGCGCACGCGCTTCCACGTGGCTGGAAGGCGCGACGGCATGAGCGGCGTGTCGCCGAGGCACCCGATGCTCGCCATGACCAGGTGAAAGTTGTTGAGTTCGTGGCCATTGGCGGCGACCGCGATCGCCGTGATGGTCTCGATGGCCTGCGCACGCTCGAGCGGACTCTCTTCCGCGACGACAGACCACACCAGGTAGGCTGTGAGCTTGTTGAAGTGATCTGAAATCGCCTTTTGCTCGCACGTCGCAGGCCCAAGAAAGGTCGGCAGCGGGACGTTGCCGAGCTGCGACCGGTGAAAGAGCGTGCACTGCTCTGCAAATGCCTCGGGTGTCATGGAGTGCCTCTCCAAGAGAGACCGCAGCGTTTGCAGCGTCGCGAGCGGCGAGAGGCTACGAGGAGGTGGCGGCGTCGACGGCGGCGATGGGTTCTTGTCCGATTGAACAAGAATGTGCCGGTTGCCACGCTGGGGTAATAGCCGGACGCTAGGCGGCGGCGCTGGACTATTGGTGAGCTGGGTGGCCGCGACGACGACGGGCACATCTTTGTCGTCCAAGTTGCTGAACCGGCGAAGGCGGCAGTGAGGGAAATACTTGTCAATGAGGTGGATGTTGGCCGCCATTTGAGCGTCCTTGCCGAGTCGGTGACCGTACGTATGGTGGAAGAGGAGGTCCCGCACAAACGCGGTCACGAGCGTTTTCTGCGACGCCGACGTCTTGCGTCGACCTTGTGGCGCGGTCGTTGGCGACGACGCCGGCCGGTTGCGCTCACCGAGGGCCGTCAATAGGTTGGCCATCGAGAGCCCGACCGGGAGGGCGAGAAGAACATCCCAGTGCAGTAGCACGCTGCGCCCGGCGCCGTCCACGTGCTCGATATAGGCCGCTAGCGCGTTCCAGTGCTTGGCTTGCTCGGCCTCGTTGACGGTCGCCGTGTCGTTGCCGTCGCTTGCATCGACGCCGAGGTCGCACGTGATCGAGCGGCGTACTTTCTGAAAGGCCGCTAGCGTCTCGGTCTCATCGGCGTAAATCTCAAAGTCGCCGTCGTCCGAGTCGTCCGAGTCGTCCAGCGCGACGACGCCGGGCGACGACGACGACGGCACCGGCGGTGCCATAGCCTGCACAGTGTAGATGGTGGCGAGCCACGTGTCTCGGTGGCTCGTCTCCTTGCAGTCGAAAAGGACGTCGTCGCACCGCGTCTTGATTCGAAGAAGGGCGTCGTCGGCGTGAAACGTGATCTGCACGGCCGGGTCCCACAAATGGATCTACAGACATTGAAAGCGGGTCGGCATCGGCTGGCGAACGATGTATTACATACCTTGAGCTTGAGGGTCGTCGTGCCTTTGCGATAAACCAAGAGTTCGCCATTCCTGGCGACGACCACATCGCGGTCCCGCCACTAGACAGGAGATTTTCTGATATATATCATCCGAGCTATCAATGACGCGACGCACCATCCATGTGCCGCGGACGCCGACGATGCCGCGCTTGACCTCGGCCGCCATCTTCGTTTCGCCAAACTCGACAGGTGCGCCCCCGTTTCGTCCATTGACGCACCTGATATATGAAATATGCACCTACTGTCGGAACGCGGGTGCGTATCCGACATCCATTTCGGCTCAACACCGCCAGAATATCTGCCAATCGAGCTCATCCATTGTGCAGCGTCCGCTGCATTGTTGCCGTCTGTGGTGCTATTGTGTCGTGCATATGGCGTCGAGACGTACGCAGTGCACGCGTCGTCGGGTTCTCCCGTCTCGACCGGTTCGAGGTGCGGAAACGAAATCGGTGCGTTTTTGTGTGCCTCTCGAAGATTGCCAATACGGCGCGATGATTGGTCGGCTATTTTAGTGCGGTGCAAAGTGGCTTTACCGCCATTTCCAGCAGGATGGCGTCGGTGGCAGGTGCGGCCCACGGCGTCGACGAGCCAGCCGCTAAGATCTTATGCTGTAGCCCGCGCGCAGCTCGATGCGGAGCACGAGTACCTCCGGACGTGCGTGGACCCGCTCCTGATGCCGCTCATCGAGACCTTGCTGCTGTACCAGCCTAGCAACGTGTACGAGTTCATGGCGAGCTACCTGGAGAAGGGTGCGAGTGATCTCGGGCGCATGAAGCATTTAAGTGAGGCCAACAAGTCGATGAAAGCGCGCCGTCAGCGCATGGTTGCGTTCATGTCGTCGAGCGTGCTGCCCATCATGGAAGACCTCACACAACGCATCATGCAAGACAAGCCGGATGATGTGCGCGGTATGTATCACATCTCTGCCGCCCGCGTGTTTCTTATTGCGCTTGAGTAGCCTACTTGGTATCTGTCGCGCACACGCGCAGCATGACGCAGAGCAGCAGCAACAACAACAACAACAACAACAGCGATGTCGAGTCGAATGGGCTCTCGTCGCTCGCGATCGCCCACGAAGCATACGCCATCGGTGACGCTGTCGAGTGCCGCTTCAAAGGTCGCCCCAAGTTTGTGCCTGCCGTCATCGAAGCCTACGACGCCGCGTCGACCACATATACGATCCGGTACGACAACAACAAGGTCGAGGAGCACATCCATCCGATCCTACTGCGCCGGCCCAACGCCGAGCCCGAGATCGAGCCCGCTATTGCCAAGACCCCGCGCCCGGCCACGCCCCGGACCATGGAGCCTGTGATCCTCCTTCTCGGTATTGACGGTGCGGGCAAGTCGACGTTGCTCTCGACGCTGCAAGGCGGTTGGTCCCTTTCTGTCGCCGTGAGTCTCACATGGCATAGACCTGGAGAAGGAGCACGGACCCAGTGCCGGGTACACGTCGGTCAAGTTTCAAATGGCCAATGGTCTCGCAACGTTCGTCGACTTGGGCGGCGGCCCCACGTTCCGGGCCGTATGGAAAGAGTACTATGCGGACGTACGATGGATGCCCTATTGTGTTTTCGCTTGTCGACTGAAACAACGACCTAGGCCCACGCCGTCATCTACGTCGTCGACGCGGCGGCACCCACGCGATTTGCCGAAGCTGCCGCGATCCTATCGCAAGCAATGGAGCACCCCCTCCTCGTCGGCAAACCGCTGCTCATGTATCCCGAAACGCAGCACGGCCAAACTCAATCTCAAACGCAATGCGTAGATTTGCCAACAAAAAAGACGTGCCTGGCGCCGCGAACGAGAAACAATTTTGCCGTGACCTTCAAGTTGGCATGTACAACAACAAGAAGGTGCTCGAATGCGTCGCCAAGGCAGGTGCCAACGCAGGGCGCGTCGACGATGCGCTCGAGACAGGGCTCACGTGGATCCTTCGGCGCGTCGAAGCCGACTATGACGACCTGCAGGCCCGTGTGGCCTCGGACCGCGACGCCAAGAAGAAGCGGGACGCCGATGCGTGGGACGCCCAGCGCCAGCGCGTCGCAACGTTCAGGGAAGAGAACGAACGCGCGCTCATGGCCAAATGCGACAAATACGCACCGGCAAAACCCGCTCCCGTCGCGACGCAAGCAGAAACCGCGTCAGTGCCGCCGTGCTCGCACTGCAAAACGGCCGATGCTGCCACGAAATGCGCAGCCTCCAAGTGGATGCCCGTCTGTTTGAACTGCGCGACCGAGCTCAAGCAGCAAGCGGCAGCCGAAAAGCAAAAAGGGACATGACCTCGTAGTCCAGTAGCGAGTAAATAGGCCAATCAGCTGGAATCAATGCGACGTCTTTGCACGACCAGGTGTGTTGGAACTCAAGCATGGGCGTGTACCTCGAGCTGGAATTCATCGCCGATCGTCTTGACGTCCGTGGTTCTTGCAGAAAACTGTTATCGCTTGACGACCTGCTTGGAGTGCGTGCCATTGGCAAATCTGATGTTGCCGCAAGCAGACCAAGGAGCAGATTCGCCCGCCGACCTCTCATGCAGGGGTCGCGTCACTATTTCTTTTTAACGACCAAACGTGTCAATACCACTAGAGTACTGCCCAGACGCGGCGTTTTGAACGCTTTCAAAGACCAACTTTTGATCTGCACGTCAAGGGGCGCGCTGGGTATGGGCAAATGGTGAAGTGAACCAATTTGACCAGGTGGTAAAATCATCGTGCTATTAGCCTTGCGCGATGAGAGAAACGACACCTCTAGGATGACATGCCTTTTTTCATGGCCTTCGTGCCCTCGTGTAACCGAAGCTTTTCGTATTGCGAAGAATGACAATGCATCGGGGGCAAGCACCCCAACACACTCGACTCGTTCTACGAAGCGCTCGTTCAGTCGCGACCGTCCAAGGCAGCGCTTGGTGCCGGTCACCTCTCGATCGGCAACAGAAATTCCATCTCGAGAGCGTATATGCCAAGCCATTGACACCGCCGCCGCGCCGAAAGCCACCCGACGACACACTCGACGTGCTACTCTTGCTCCAGCAAAGTGACGGGCGCTGGAAGCTTACAGACGCACTCTCCGATTGTCTCTATGGCGCGATCCCCCCCGTCCCCCCTGGGGTCACTCCCGGCATGTGGGCAACGGCCTGCGCACTCGCCGTCTTGCGCCGACAGCCCGAGCACTATGACCGTCTCGAGAAGGCGTGTGCCCTTGCATTGGCACACGTTGACAGTCATGTTTTCGAGTGTGCCAAGCACGCAATGCCGCCCGTGCCTCTCTCGATAGCCCCCGTACGGCCCAATGAAACAAGCTCTGTTCACGCCTCTCTATAGGAAGTGTGCATTCGAGGCAATACGCCTGCACCGCTACAGCCCGCTGTCATCGACCCCGACGCGTTGAGTAAAAGCGTTCTACAGAACGTCCCAAGGAGGACGCGGGTGCTATTACGTCGCGGGTGCGGCGCCGAAATTGACGTGCGTAGCGCTAACAAGCGCGCGTTGGCGCCCTTTCAGGCACGCGGAAGCGTGCGGCCGATCGAATGACAACGTCCAATCAATAGGCAGGAGAAGCGATCGAGTCGTGCTTCCGCAAGTCGAGCCACAGTCTCTACGCCGTTCCTGAAGTCCAAGACGTCTGGGCGCCAGCCCACGTATGCCTTCACACTACATAGAACATGTCAACGATCGATGGCAATGCTAGGTACTCTACATCCACACGACGAAGCCTCCGCTCTACGATCTACAATACGACGACGGCGGGCGGGAAAAAGTCTTGCGCGTCAACGGTCGTCACCTTCGGCGATCTGGCGTCACGCGCCTCGAAACCTCCAAGTCGATGCTCGAACACGTCACGACGCGATGGCTCACGCCGGTGCCGGTCCAAGACGAAGTCGACCGCTTCACCGAGGCCCTGCGATCCCAAACGATCAAGCCGAGGTGGAACGTCCCCCCGATACGAGCACCGTGCTCTGGATTACCGCCGACACGAAGCGAGCCACAGCTTCGTCGTCACACGCAAAGTCTCGAGGACCTGCAGCCTACGCAGCCCCACGGACGCTGACGCCACTTGAAGCCGACGTCATTGCGTCCATCTTGCGACATGAAAAGGTGCTTGCGAGTTTCCTTGCCAAAGTCGACGCCTGTTCCGCCTTGTATACGTACGTGCTGGAGCGTTCTCTGCGCTCTGGAAGACGAGGGAGCGTAGGTCGGCTCGTATCTTTGGAGAGAAGATCCACGCATTCGATGCATTCACGCAGCTCGCTCCTGCGGTTGTCGAGAGCACCCTCGCTTGCATTGAGCACGTCGTTGCACTTCAAGAGGTCCTTGCGGGCCCCGGGGTGCAGCACTATGTGCCCTTTATGTGGCACGGCCAGCCGTTCCTGTCGACGGTGGAAACTACTGAATTCGATTCTTGTGAGCGAGACTCACACGTCCATACTAGGTGCTTCACCAGTTTGATCGCCTCCAAGGCCGCCACGACCTGGTACATTGCACTGTAGCAGCCACCTTGTTATTGTTTATGTGTATATTTATTGCAGGTGGACTGGTACGGCGTGGATTTCTACTTTGAGTGCAACCCGTTCTTGATGACGACGACTGTCGGCTGTCGAAAACGCTTGTGGTCCCGAGACGACGTGGTTCAAAATGGGTCGTGGCCAGAAACCGCGTACTCGCCCGAGCTGCGCTGCGCCATTGCAATTGGCGAAGAGGTAATGCAATCATCTTGTGCAGGCTTTCTATCAAGGCCATTGTAGCACCTCTTGAAGCATTGGCAGCGCAGCGAGGCCGTGCATTCGTGGGTGTAGCAGTCGATAAAGCAACAGCTCTTTTTCCGTGCCTTGCATGTTGCTCGGCTGAAAGCTCGAGAAGGGTCCCTGTAGACATGGTTAAATGTGTGATCACTCTCGTATGCCAAAGCCAAATGCTGGACGGTTTGAAGGAAGGCCCAGTCGCCTCATAGTGTGATTCCTGCTAAGGACGCAGGGGGCCCCGATGCCCACTGTATACAAATGGTATGGCTTGAGCACGACTTGCTTTCACGCTGTAGTGCCTGGTTCTCGACAAACGCAACGCGAAAGCACACCAAAAATCGAGTTGTCGTCTCGTTACCCTTCCGCGCCCGCAGTTGAATGCAGCATTTGTCGCGACGTAGCGCCTAGAGTTTTGGACGACGCTGGACAATTGGGTTGCGTGCCACAATGGCCTTGATGGTTTTTCGGTCGATGGTCGGGTCATTCGGCAACGCCGAGTTGACATAGTAGTCGACTGCAATCGACTTTTTGGCCGTCGTCGCGTTCGAGGGTCGCCACACGCGGCCCGCTCTCCGCTGCATATTATCCTCCTACGCCAATTCATCGGTCGCATCATATAGGAGAAGTACATTTACCTGAAGCGAGAGGGCGTGGCGGCTCGGCACGCGCTCTTTACTCGTGTGCAGCCCCGTGGGGTAGTCATACTCGCACGGGTGTCGAATAGCCGCTTTGGCGTCGGCCGCGCTCTTGGTCACAAAAGGTGCCTACGCGACGTCCGTCTAGTACTAAAGTACTTTAGTCGACAAGAACCTTGGGGGGCGGAGAGAGCTGCGATTTGTGGGTGGCGGCTCGTGCCGCTCGTCCCGGGCATTCGTGTGCTTGCAGAGCACAGCGCGTCGAAAAGCCGTGAGCATGGGCACTTGGTTTTCGAAAATTTGATCAAACTAGTCGAGAGCGTCAGGTCAGGTCAGCCTTGCCGCATCGCACCGCGTCGGGGGCGTGGAGGCGGCTGTGGACCGGTGACGCGCGCGGCGTCACGACCGCGGTCACGGGCGAGCAGTCTTGCAGCAGAATGACGTTCTCGCCCGACGCTTGCAGCTGCGAGAGCGCGGGAAAGTGCCGCGTTTTCGCAAACGCCGCGGCGTGCGCGTCCTTGTACGCGCGGCGCTCGCGCTCTTCCGGGCGCATCTGGCTATAAATAGAATTTTGGTTGAAAACATGTGTTGTATTGGTGTTTTAAACAGTATGGATGGAATTGGTTGACGATCAAAAGCACGCGAAACCTCTTGGCGGCGGTTGGCTATTTCCAGCCCCGTCTATGATTAGGCAGCCGCAACCGCCGAGAGTTGCATCGGCCAAGAGGTGCATCAGAATCCGATTTCATCGACCATCCACAAACACTACTACCATGGGCGCCTCTGCTTCGGTTGAACACGCGGCGTACGACCCGGCCAAGTTTGCCAAGTCCAAGGAAATCATGGGCAGCAGCTGCGACGACGCAGACAAGTTCAAGCAGCTCAAGTCGCTTTGGGAAGCCCAGGGTGAACCCAAGACGGACACCAAGGATGCGCCCAAGGACGCAAAGGAAGCCCCGAAGGAGGCGAAAGAAGCGCCCAAGGATGCTGCCAAGGAAGCCCCGAAGGAAGCTGCCGCGACGGAGGCTGCCAAGGAAGCTCCAAAGGAGGCTGCCAAGGAAGCGCCGAAGGAAGCCCCAAAGGAAGCCCCGAAGGAAGCTGCGAAGGAAGCCCCGAAGGAAGCTGCGAAGGAAGCCCC